AGCTCTAGAAGGAGCAAAGACAACTCAATAGCTCTAGAACTCTACAGCTACACAGTCTACACGTTCTCAACATCTGATAAGCTCGGACACACAGAGCATACGCTCTAATACTTAACGCACGTTTGAGCATCCGTCACTCTCTTCCACTCGGATCAGAGTACGACCGGGCCTCTAACACCCCCTTCTCATTCCTTACTCGTTTGTAACCCCACAGCAAACTTCAAGTACCTGGGCTTAGGAATAAAGTCACTGACCGACTGAAACTGGATGTATGGCACGTTGCTTGAACCAGTATAAATCATGTTGAAAGGACCTAGGATGCCGTCTAGAGGGGGGGTGAATAGACGTTTCTAAAAATTAACACATTTAAATATGAAAACGATTAGTAAAGGGAGTTTTCAAAATGGAAACTCCAAATAAGAGTAATACCACCCCTCACAAGTTAGCCACAGTGTATGTAAAAGATACTAAATAAATGTAGGAGCCACAACCCTGCAACACAACGATTAGTGCAGCGAATAGATAAAACAGAGCAGGGGCCAATACCGGACATGTTCGGTAGAGGTACCGGACATGTCCGGTTCGATCGAACACTTCAGGCAATGTCGGACACGTCCAGTAGTTATACCGGACATGTCTGGTATACATGAGTTCTGTAGTGTGACCCCTAACTTGCTCCTTTTGATTCCAAACTTCAATCCAACCTGTAGGCACCCACTAAAGATAGTGCCACACATAGGTAACCTACACAAGAGCTAGAGCAATACAAATATCAAATGAAATACGAATTGAGACACGATATTTGTTTTACCAAAGTTCGGACTCATTTGAGTCCTACTCTCCGTTGAGGGGGCTACGGGCGACCCAGCGAAGGTCAGCCCTAAAGGGTACCACGAAGGTCACTCTAGTCGAAGTCTTTTCCAACTCCTTTTCCTCCTTCCACTAGTTGATTTTGAGGCGGCGGAATCGACCATTACAAACTTTTCGAGGCACACCACAATCTCTCGGGTGCTCTTCGACGACGTCTAACCGTCTAGGACCGAAGAGTCCAAGAGTAACAAATTTGAATCACGAGATTGATAATATGCACAAGTGCTCAAGTGGTTGGATTGCTCTCTTTTTGAATTTCTCTCAACCCACTAATGGATTTGGCAATTTGGATCACACACTAAGTAAGAGAGGGTTTGGGAGAGTTGGCAAAGCTCAAAAACGTGCTAGAGGATCAGTAGAATCAGTAGCCTCCAAAGGTAGAGGCTTGGAGGTATTTATAGCCTCTTTAAAAAACTAGCTGTTTTCTAGCCGTTGGAATACCGGACACGTCCAATATGATTTGCACTGCGCCAACAATCATTGAGTTAAAGTATGCGAGGAGTCAGAACTCCCAACACTTCCTGGGACTTCCGACCGTCGGAACTCCTGACTCACGTCGAAACTCCCGATGAACCCATTTGAAAACTAGCCGTGGGGCTCTAGTCGGCCATACCGATTAAGCGCGAGACGTCGGAACTCCTGACGATTGTCGAAACTCCCGACCGTCGGAACTTCCGACTCACTTCGGAACTCCCGACCCTCGACTCATTTGAAAACTAGTCGTTGGGCTCTGGCCTACTATACCGGACACGTCCGGTGTGACCAGACAGTCAACTCTCCAAGTCAGTTAAGTGTTGAGACGTCGGAACTTGTGACAATTGCCAGAACTCCCGACCGTCAAAACTTCTGACTCACGTCGTAACTCCCGACGTGAGTCAAAAGTTTCGATCCCCTAAGAACACCAAGAATTTTACCATGGCTGGGCAAATCCCGCACACGTCCGGTTCCGGTATTGCCAGACCAGCAAAAAAAACAAGTTAGCTCTTTTGTCTCTCAAACACTCAAAACTCACATAGGTTGGCATGAGCACTTATGAATGATTATCTATCAACATGATGCATCCCTCTTAATAGTACGGCATACCTATTAAACTCAAGATCAAAGGAAAAATGAATTTATACTGCTTGAGTTGATCTCTTTTGAATTGATGCCCTCTCTTTCAATCTTCATCAAGTAAGGGTGCCAACATGTCAACTTTGATCTCTTTCACTTGAGCATAACCATCTTGAGCACGTGACTTGATTCCATTCATTAAATATGAATAATTCCAAATGTATCAAGTCACTTCCATCAAACACTCCATTAGTAATTTGATCCTCCACATCAACATGACCATCATAGCTTGATTACTACCTCAACTAAATGCAACTACTTCCTTCTTCACCCTAGCTAGATTCTTCGGCCGTCAAGCCGTCGCTTGCCCTTCACCCTTGCTTAGTACCTCGAAATATTTCCTTGCTATCTTCACCATCTCAAGCCATCAAGTCATATCTTGTGTTGAATCATTCATTCATTTGTATTGTTATTTTTTCATTTTAATTTAGCAAGCTTCAAATATAAGACCATTCCATATGCAGTCCCCCATGCCTTATTAATTAATTTTTACCGTGCTTGCTTTCACATAGTACATGGAAATCTCACAATAAATAAGCATTTGCATGAATTCTATTTGCATTGTTATCTTGTATTTGAACTAGATTGTTTCCAACAATACATCATTTTGGCTTTAATTAAGTACCTGTGAGATAATCTATTACCTGTCCACACTTAGCAAATGGGTTAGACCATTAATCACGTTGTCATTCAATCATCCAAAACTCACTAAAGAGTCTAGATGCACTTTCACCTGTGCCATCGTGTGCTATGCCACATCCGATCATAACGCACAGCAAAACTACAAATATTTACTTGTTGGCCACATTTCGCACCGACAGACTGCGATAAAAAAATACAAATAAAATATTTATAGCTCATGAAAACATTTCTTGAGATAGATTAGATTTTATATACTAAATGTTGTCCCTTCATTTTTTCATCCTCACAAAAAGATTTGGAATCCTTCGCAAGAAGATTTTGATATATACTTATTTAATATAAGAAAATGGAACAACAAATGCAAGGGATAGATTGTGATACGAAAAATCTAAATAAAATATTTAGAGCTCGTGAAAACATTTCTAGAGATAGAGGTTAGATTTGGGATACTAAATGATGTCCCTTAATTTTTGCATCCTCGCAAAAAGATTTGAAATTCTTCGCAAGAAGATTTCGATATATATTTGTTTAATAATATAATAAAATGAAATAATAAATGCTAGGGATAGATTGGGATACGAAAAATCTAAATAAAATATTTAGAGCTCGTGAAAACATTTCTAGTGATAGAGATTAGATTTGATATACTAAATGTTGTCCCTTGATTTTTGCATCCTCACAAAAAGATTTGGAATCCTTCACAAGAAGATTTCGATATATACTTATTTAATATAAGAAAATGGAACAACAAATGCTAGGGATAGATTAGGACACAAAAAATTGAAATAAAATATTTAGAGCTCGTGAAAACATTTCTAGAGATAGAGGTTAGATTCGGAATACTAAATGATGTCCCTTAATTTTTGCATCCTTGCAAAAAGATTTGGAATCCTTCACAAGAAGATTTTGATATATATTTATTTAATATAATAAAATGGAACAATAAATGCTAGGGATAGATTGGGATATGAAAAATCTAAATAAAATATCTAGAGCACGTGAAAATATTTCTAGAGATAGAGGTTAGATTTGGGATACTTAATGATGTCCCTTAATTTTTGCATCCTCGCAGAAAAGATTTGGAATCCTTGGCAAGAATATTTCGATATATATTTATTTAATATAATAAAATGGAACAATAAATGCTAGGGATATATTGGGATACAAAAAATCTAAATAAGATATTTAGAGCTCGTGAAAACATTTCAGATAGAGGTTAGATCCGAGATACTAAATGTTGTCCCTTAATTTTTGCATCCTCACAAAGATTTGAAATCCCTCAATTTTGATATATATATATATATAATATAAGAAAATGGAACAATAAATACTAGGGATAGATCGAGATACGAAAAATCTAAATAAAATATTTAGAGTTCGTTAAAACATTTCTAGAGATATAGATTAGATTTGAGATACTAAATGCTGTCCCTTAATTTTTTGCGTCCTCACAAAAATATTTGCAATCCCTCGCAAGAAGATTTGGATATGTAAATTTAATATAAGAAAACGGGACAATATTCTGAATACGAACGTTGCATTGAATGATCCTTCCATTCCATCTTCGCCACTTGGCGAAGACCACACAAACAGTCTTATCGTTGGTTGGTTTCTGAGCTAATAAGCTCGATTGGTGCTGATTTGTTGTGAGAGAAAAATACTGTTGACTAACTGATAAGCTCTGGTTGAAACCTACAAGCGAACAGGCTAAAAATTGATTAGTGTAGTATTTCCTTAGCATCGAAGAAATTGTTTGGTGCCTGCGGGCTGTGGGCACCGGATGACCGGACGGCAGCTAGTGCAGCACGCCTGCAGCCTGCAGCGGCGACAAGACCAAGAACGTGACGCGGGTCGTCGGAGGCGCGCGCGCGTCTAAACAAAAAGCAACGCGCCGCGGGCGGCTCCCATCCGGCGCTCCTTCTCCTCGCTCGGTCTCGGTCGTAACGCACGCAGGCCGGCACCGTGCCACATCACCCGTAGACCGCGCCCATGGCACTTGCATACATGGCGATAGATAGAGTGGGCAATGCACGGGCTGCTGCAGATAGAACGCGGCCGGCCGGGGCTGCTGCTGATAGATAGAGATAGAGACGCTGTTGGCTGGTGTCGTGCAGCGTGGGTAGGTAGGCTGTGCGGACTGAGAGAGCAGACGTGCTTACAGATAGACGCTAGCGGCCGGCCGGGGCAGGGGGGCTGCTGCTGATAGTGATAGGGTAGCCGGCCGGTGCAGACCACGCACGCCTCGCGCTATAAAACCCGAGCCAGTGGGCGAGGCCAGTCACACTCACATCCAACCTCGGATCGGTCGATCAGCCGGTCCGTCCCAACCTCCATAGTCCATCCCTCCTCGAGGCTTCAGCTTCTGGAAAGGAAGCATGTTCGGGCACCACCACCACGGCCACGGCGGGCACCAGGCCCCGCCGCCGCCGCCGCCCCATGAGCAGACGCTGTACAGGATCTTCTGCCGCGCCGACGAGGCGTACTGCCTCACCGTGCGCAACGACTCCGTCGTCCTCGCGCCCACCAATCCTCGCGACGAATCCCAGGCATGCTATTGCTTTCTCTCTCTGTCATCGACCGATCAATCTTGTTGTTGTCATGGACATGGATCCGGTGTGTGCTTGACACGCACTGTGCCTGCGCATGTGCAGCACTGGTACAAGGACATGAGGCACAGCACCAAGGTGAAGGACGCGGAGGGCCAGCCGGCGTTCGCGCTCGTCAACAGGGCCACCGGCCTCGCCATCAAGCACTCGCTCGGCCAGTCCCATCCTGTAAGTACGCCGGCCGGCCGGCCGTCGCACCGTGTATGTTCTCATGCCATGCGTTGCGATCGTCTCTCTGACCCACCGTACGTGTTGTTGCACGCCACACATATGTATATGCAGGTGAAGCTGGTGCCCTACAACCCGGAGTACCTGGACGAGTCGGTGCTGTGGACGGAGAGCCACGACGTGGGCAAGGGCTTCCGCTGCATCCGCATGGTCAACAACATCCACCTCAACTTCGACGCCTTCCACGGCGACAAGGACCACGGCGGCGTGCACGACGGCACCACCGTCGTGCTCTGGGAGTGGGCCAAGGGCCCCAACCAGAGCTGGAAGGTGCTGCCCTGGGGCGACGAGGCCTACGCGCCGCGCCCACCAGGGCCGGAGCCAGGCTACGGCGGGTACCGCCCCCCGCCGGGCGGCCCAGCTGCCGGGGGCTACGCGCCGTCCCCGCCAGGGCCGTACCCACCGCCTGCCCAGCCGGAGCCAGGCTACGGCGGTTACCGCCCCCCGCCGGGCGGCCCAGCTGGGGGCTACGCGCCGCCCCCGCCTGTGCAGGAGCCTGGCTACGGCGGCTACCCGCCGGCTCCGGGCAACCCCGCCCCGGGGTACGGGCCCCCCGGGTACGGCAACCTGCCTCGCGCCCTCGCGTCTGAGCCCACCGTGCGCGTCTTCTGCAGGGCCGGCGACGGGTACAGCCTGACTGTCAGGAACGGCACCGTGTGCCTGGCACCAACCAACCCCAGGGACGAGTTCCAGGTACGTACTGCAGCAAGATCGATCGATGCTCTATGACGTGTCATGATAAGATCGAACATACTAGCTAGCTATAGGATGTCGATGATCTGATTACTACTAATGTACGGAGTAAAATGTGATCTTGGTTGGTTGGTTCTTCGTGTACCTAGCACTGGGTGAAGGACATGAGGCACAGCACTCGCATCAAGGACGAGGAAGGGTACCCGGCGTTCGCGCTGGTGAACAAGGTCACCGGCGAAGCCATCAAGCACTCCCTGGGACAGAGCCACCCGGTACGAACGATCCATCACTCATCAGTTTTCACTTCAACTAACCAACCAATGCATACAAACAATCTTGCGTGCGTGTGCAATGCAACTTTCTTCTTCTTCTTCTTCTTCTTCTTCTTCTTCTTCTTCTTCTTCTTCTTCTGTTAAGTCAGTCTGTCAGTCAATATAGTTGTTGTCACGTACCTGTCTACTTTCCTGATCGTCCAATGGGCGTCGTCACACGGTGTTGAACTTTGCTTGTAAATTGTAGGAGGACATAGTAAGTACTAGGTAAGTAGGTAGTCTCTATGTGTGTGTATTTTCAACTGCTAGCTCTATCCAATCTTGAATAATTCTTGGTGCATATATCTGACGGATGGATGGGTGATCGAACATTGGTAAATGCATTGACATGGATCCATCGTCGGCAGGTTCGCCTGGTGCCCTACAACCCTGAGTACGTGGACGAGTCGGTGCTGTGGACTGAGAGCCGCGACGTCGGCCACGGCTTCCGCTGCGTGCGCATGGTGAACAACATCTACCTCAACTTCGACGCCTTCCACGGCGACAAGGACCACGGCGGCGTCCACGACGGCACCACCGTCGTCCTCTGGGAGTGGGCCAAGGGCGACAACCAGCGCTGGAAGATCCTGCCCTGGTGTAAGTGTTCCAATAATACAAGTTGCCTTCCAGTCCATTCCATGCATGCATTACTGTATATTATCCTTGGAGGATTCATTATTATTTTTCCATCATCAGTTCAGCATATACGACAGCACATCCGTCCTCGGATGCTCCGATCCGTTGGCAATTTATGTCCTCGGATGCTCCGATCTGTATATTGACTAGTTTTGTACTATTATGTATTGCAGAGATGAAGCCATCCAAGCGCGGCGTTGAGAGGATGGACCGGATCGGAGGAACCTTACCTTGCTGCTGTCTCCGTCCTCCGCTCCATGTCGTTGATCGAGTCGTTCTAGTTATCTTTCTGTTTTCGTGTCGGTTCCTGAATGAACAATAATAATATAGGAGTACTAGTTGTTGTCCATCAGCGTGCGACCATGTCTGAATCTGATCGTATCTTGCTGGTTGCTTGCTGCTGCTACTTCTGTTCGGTGTTATGAAAGACTTTCGAGTATATGTTGATGCTGAGTTTCCATTCACTGATCTATCCTTTCGAGTATGTTGATGCTGCTACTTCTGTTTGATGAGTAATTTGCTGTCCGCCCGTGGAATTGTGGACCGAAGATCGATGGGCGATGCGTGAGCTTCATTCAGAGTTTGAGTGGTTCTGAATTTCTGATGAGGAAGGAATCTACCGCACTGCATTTCTGCATTTTGACATTTGCTGTGCTATGTACCGTGCCAGGTCCCTACAACGGCAACCACTGGTACTTGCAATCTTTATTTGCGTTTGTTTTGTTTTTTCTCTGCCCGTGTCAACTTCGACGACGACTGCTAACGGACTAAGGCGGTCTCCAACACAAGCGCCGTTCGCGTTTGTTTGGCTTATAAGTCGTATTTTTTTAAGTTAATGAACAGTATTTTTTTCACACTAAATCAACTAATAGTACTTTCAGTCATAGCTTATCAACCAAATAAATCCAAACGAACAAGACAGTTGTTGGTGCCATTCAAATGCCAGTCAAAACAACCTTAAATTCACCTAATCTAATCACACCAGCCGGAAAACCAAGCCTTAACATTATTACGCAACAAAAGTTACTAGTTGGGCTGGCTGGTGGTCTCGTCTCATTCACGTCTCATTTACTGATTTAGGTCTTGTTTAAATTTAGTGCGGTAAGTTCTGAGATGTCACATCGGGTGTTATATAGGGTGTTACATGGGATGTTCGATACTAATAAAAAAATAAATTGCAGAATCCACGAGACGAATTTATTAAGCCTAATTAATCTATCATTAGCATATATATTACTGTAGCACCACATTGTCAAATCATGGACTAATTAGGCTTAAAAGATTGTCTTATAAATTAGTCGCAAACTGTGTAATTAGTTATTTTTTAGTCTATATTTAATACTCCATGCATCTGTGTCACGGATCGAGACTATTTTGCGAGATGAATTTTTAAGCCTAATTAGTCCATAATTTGACAATGTGGTGTTACAGTAAACATGCGCTATTGATGGATTAATTAGGCTTAATAAATTCGTCACGCGGATTACTAACGGATTCTGTAATTTGTTTTTTATTTGTATCCGAACACCCCACGCGACACCCCCATGTGACACCTCCTAAACTTTAGTCCCTCAATCCAAACACCCCATTATTTTTCTCTTCTAAACTTTAGCCCCTGTCACATTGGATGTTTGGACACATGGAGTATTAAATATAAGCTAATTACGAAACTAAATGCACAGATTGAGACTAATTTGCGAGACGAATTTTTTTAATCCTAATTAGTCCATGATTTGACAATGTGGTGCTACATTACATGTGCTGATGACAAATTAATTAGGCTTAATAAATTTATCTCATGGATTATTAAGGTCTTTTATAATTTATTTTATTATTATTATTCGAATAGTCAACGTGATATATGACACCCTTAAGTTTTAGCGGTCTGATTTAAAATCCTCGAGTTACGTGCGCAGATTTCAAGGGTCAAACCAGCCGTTGCAGCCGTTGCTACTCTGCCCAAGGCTCCAAACGTTTTCAGAACTTCACCCGTCTGGATAGTTCGGAGTAGTTTCAGAGTGTTCATGTTGTGTACCAGATGCAACGCGTTATACGCTCTGAGCCATACAGACAGCACGTTCGTTTGTTGGTTTCAGGATGTGAGCGCGGAAGTGCCTGGATTAGAGGATGTGTGCTCATAGGAATCGAAACTATACATGGCCTGTGAGTGTATGGTGGACAAATGCTAATAGCAGAAATTGTGACTGATCATCACCTATATAAGCACTTGCTTTTCTTTTTAGGGTAAAGGGCTAAAGGCAATGCATCTTTATTCTTTCCCACCTCGGAAAAATAGCACGTCGGAACCCATCTGATTGACTGAGTCGGTAATGGTTGATGCAACTTTCAGAATGTAGCAGGTACTACTACTAGTATAACGTGGGAGAGATTGCTGAATCTTGGCTGAAATTGGCTAAAAAACACGGTCCTAGTTGAAATGTTGTAAAAGAAAAATACTGTTTCGACTGGAAAAAAAAACCCGAACAAGCTAAATATAGGGTAAGCCGAATGGGGCCCATTGTTTTTTCCCCACCAATGACAAGACAACAAGCCTGTTGCCTGATCATTAGTTGCATTTACCAGCTCTGTTATTTTTTTTTAAAAAAAAGGGGGGGAATTCAGTTTTGTTGGGCCTATATGTATGCACGCCAAATTTCATTAGTACTCGCCTAAGTCAGGCTGTTCCCTGTTAAACGGGGGCTCAAATTCTACAACATGCCACCCAAAATATAAACACCGGTGATGCAAAGTCGTTTGTTACCACCATAACACTGAAAGTCTTAAACGATTGACGCACCACTCTGATGACACCAGGAGTTGTTGAGACGTTGCTAAAGATGTCACGGGATGAGAACTTGAGATGGACACGTTCTACATTACTGGGGGCTTCGAGCTTTTGCACAGGGAGAAGGCATTTGGCTGGACAGGCCTTGTCTGACGACGCAATCGACAAACCTACCTGACCTGCATACCACCGTCCTGATAAACCCTGCCTTGCCTTACAAACTGACAAGAGCAAAGCTCTTCCAGAGAGTTGTTGTTCCATGGGATTGCTAACCAAAACCTTCACCTAACCACACCGGGACAGCGAGAGGGTTTACCACTGCAGTTACAGCGCGTCCCACCTTTTTCGGATGTCCGCAGGACACATGTTTTTTTTAAAGGACGGCAAAAACTTTGCCATGATTTCTCTCAGACGAAGAAAAAAAAAGCAGGTGCCCGTTCAGTTTTTTGAGTGGAAACTGGACCTAAAAACCATACAACTGAGGAGAGTGCACCACTCATCCTAACAACTTTGGTATAAACAATTGGGCAACTATCACAACTCACACCACTGCTTGATCCAATTTGGTCAAAAACAACTGAACTAACAACTAACAAGGACTGAAGAAACGACGTCCTGCCAGGCACCACCAAACAACACTGCAAAGATCAACCGTGGAACTGGAAAGCCTAGCCATGCCCACAAGGGGAAACGACACTAAAAACGCCAACATGGTAGCCCGTCAATGGAAGGTTTTCACCTACAACATCTAGTATAGTAGTAGGAGAGGTAGGAAATGACACCTTCAAGAAGGGAACAACGTCCGCAGATGTTGTCGTCCAAGGTTTCGCCCCAACCTCAAATCACCGCCACACCGTTGCCGCCAGACGCCCAACCCTACCAGGATGCAGGTGCGGCAATGGTTCAGTAGCAGCCCCGCCTAGCCGCCGTCCCTAGGGACGCTAACCAGGAGGAAGCGTTGGGGGAACCCGCCGGAGAGTCCGCCCCCCGCAGCAATCGGCAAAGCCGGCCAGCAGCATGTAGAATCGGCCAGCTCCCCCACGAAAGCTAGCTTGGGGAAGGGGAAAGGTAGATGGCGGGGAGAAGAGGGCTGGGATCAGAAGAAATCCCAGTCGCCCAGCCCACCAACGTCCTCACCCCTACCGAGCCGGCTCCACAACAACCACGCCGCGCAACATCTCAAGCAGCCTCCGTGCCGAACTGTCGCTGTCACGCCCGCTCCCCAGCCCTCCGTGGATCTAGGACAGATCACTTCACTGGAACCGGGTGAGGAAGACGCAGGGTGCCGCAAAGCGCCAAGCAGCAAGCGCCCGCAGCCCCCAGCCACTAGCGCCGTTCCCAACGCCCAGGCTGGAGCCACGTTGCCGCCGCAAGGGCTCCCCGCCAGATCCGGTGAAGAACCACCGGATCTAGCCAGCAGGCCACCGGATCCGGACACAAGCCTACGGATCGAGAGGGTGGAGGTCGGCGTCGGACCATTTGGAGTTGGGCGCCGACGGGTCGACGGAGGTCGCTTGCGTAGGATGGAGAGGTAGATCTGGGCATGGGGACCTGGATTCGCCCTTACCGGCGCCGGCAGCGCCACCCGCCGGCTCCCCCACGACGGCGCGAAACCACCGCAAGAACTCCAAGGGAGGGAGGGAGGGAGGAAGAGGACCCATCCGCCGCCTTCCTTGTCGTCCACCGGATCTCCGGCGTCGGGCTTTGGCGGCAGCCAGGTCGAGGAGGCGCGCGGAAGGCCCCTGCTGTGGCGGCGGTGAGGGTGCCGCCCGAGTCGCCCTCATGGAGAGCGACGTGGGGGCCTTGCAGGAGTCGCATCTTGTACCCCGCAGGACACATGTTACTAGCAAGGTTTTTTAATTTTGGTATATTGAAAATGCCGCCCGGGAATAACATAAAAAAATACAAAATATACCCTGTTTCAAATTTATATACTGCAAAAATCAAGTAGAATATCAAATCAATATATATTGTTATATTGTTTATACTGCTAATATATACTTGCAATATGGTGCATTGTAAAAGTTCTCGTCATTCTTCAAACTTCAAAGAACGACACACATTGATGTCAACTTTCACCCCAGATCATGGATGCTCCCTGGAAGGAAAAATTCAACAGGGATTGGCCCTTCATTTGACCTGGAACACATGAAGCCATTCCAGTACAAAATTTTATTCTCCAAATCTTCTATCCTGAGCAACAAGTACTAAGAGACATTGTGTTCAGTATGGGTCAAGCCCATTCTATCATGATGATACAGCAAGGCCCCAATAAAGAAATAGGCATATAGCGCTACACTTCACAGAGTGCACCTCAATTTGTTTGCTCTGTCCTCTCTCTCACAATCCCCTTGTCGAGCAGAGGCGGATTTGTCCCCGGACCCGAGGAGGGGGGCTGCTCGGGCGAGCCAGTGTGTCCGAGGTCTAAATGTGATTTTGGATATTGAGCCATCCGTAAAATTTGTACATGCGATGCATTGCGCTCTGCATGTTGATCCTGCCGAATATCTTATGTTTGTCGTTAGCTTCTAGGTGATTTGGTCGTAGTTGTGAAGGAGCCGTTGAGGGCGTCCGTCACTGTTCTTTTTATTTTAAACTTTTGGAGATTTGAGCAGGTAAGCTTGGGTGTGTCGTAGGTAATGTGAACGCTGAGTTAGGTCCATACAGTTCATTTCACGTGCCTATACTGTAAATTGAACGGTACAAGTCTCTCTCTCTCTTTTCCCTTTACTGCTGAGTTATTATGCAGAAATCAAGCTAGAGTTTTCGAAAGAAGAATACATCTATTGAAATAATTGATGGGCCATTATGATGACACGAGGAGCAAGTTACTTTTATGCTTTCTATAAAAGTAGGGTTTATTTCCGTCAAAAAAAAAAGATGAAACGAGGAGCAAGCGTTGTGATCCACATTGGCACTTTTCTGTTTGGAGAGGGACACGATTTATATCGGGGTTTCAGAGTTTGTTTGCAGGGAGATCGAAGGC